ACGCATCACTCAAATCAAGAAATATTTTACCATTCAACTATTTACTTTATGTAGAATCAGTACTGAAAGTATTGTCGAAGGGTTCATGTGCACTTTAAAAATGATTTATTTCTTTATTTGATTCATTGGAAAAAATGCGTATATCTGTAGCAGGACCTATGAGGAAAATGAAATGTTCAAAATCATGCAATTTGAATCAAGGCGTGACAACATTTATGTCACGTTGCTTCATCACCGACCAGTCATCAGCTGGCCCTCTGTATCCATGTATGGAATTATGCCCTTTTGGTCCTTATGTTCAAAATTATTCACGACATGGTAACCTTCAACTTTTATTTACATTGCCTCACCAACCACCAATCATTGGCGTTTGCCTACTCTGCATCTAAATAAAATAAGAGCCCCTTTCACCCCCTTTTAGAAGTAAGAATTAATTAGACGCCAATGAGGTCGACCGCATAGGCCAGATTATACTTGTTTTATTATCATGGCTTTATAAAACCTCGAAAAATGTTTTGAAAAGCAAGCATACCAGTATCAGGAGAAGCACCGGCGCAATAAACGTCCAGACGAGTTTATTTTCTACTGACAACCAGCAGCTGTAGAATGAAAGAAACATCGACGTATTTATCTTATAAATGATCGATCCAATATAAACATTAAAGATACGTACAATTTGTCATTGACAAAGCTTGGTAATCCACCTGAACCATTTCCCGCGATGCTCAACGAAACAACTATCAGAATTAATGGCAAACCTAAAATCGATGGTAACGATTAAGTTTTGAATTCGATTGTTGTTTTTTAAAGGGGCATAGTCCAGAAAAGTTATTCACTGCAGTGGTGATTGTGCAGTGAAAGTGGTCGATTAAGTATTAGCTTTGGCTGTTATAACACAACGTGGGACAATCACACCGAGCACTAAGCTCCATACTAGGAAAAAAGCCCTAAGATCGAAATTAATTTTTGAGGAAGGAGAAACCCTGATAAGAAATGTAGGTCCAGGGCCGTAGCCACTATGAGGTAAAAGAGGCAGTTGCCTTGGTAAAATGTCACAGATGTCCCTCAAACATCTGGACATCGCATTTTCGCGGGTTTCAATTTCAAAATGTTCCGAGGGTGCATGCCCCCGAACCCCCCTCGTTCCTCCTGACTCCGCCGCTCGTTTGCCTTGATAAACAATTCGGTCTCTCTACGGCCCTCAGGTCGTAGACTCCAGAAGATGGTCGAGGTGGTCGGTTTAGAGGTGGTCGTATTAAGGGATCCATTCGCGGGCAAGTTATCATTCAATACTCACCCCAAGCAAAGCCATAAACCTGTCTCATTTTCAGGTTGGTGTTAAACACTTTGATAACCTGCATGTATAGTTGTATTCCTTCAGCAAACATCCAGCACAAGGCAGACGTGTAGAACAACTGCATCAATGCAGCTACTGATATACACAGGATCTTGAAGAACAAACAAATAAAGAGGAAGTATGTTCGATTGGACTTTGCGAGGACAAAATTAATCACTGGTGATCCATAAAAGTTTGGGACTGAACTTGAGGATCGAACAAAGCGTAGTCCGACAATTGAAACGAGTGAAGGTATTTTAATACATTAAATCATTGAAAGCTGAACATGCATATGAATATGCTGAATAATATGCGCATGCGTATGTGTGTGTGTGGCCTAAGATAGCTGACTATAATATTGGCAAGTTCATAGAGCTAAGCTTTGCTACGGATACCAAAATTGCTCCACAGTCCTATGCACGTTGAGGTCGTTACCATTTCTCTTTTTTAAATTCAAAAAGTCGGAATATATAAATAAATAAAAAACAATTACGATGTAATTAATCGTTAGGATAAGGTAACTATAGATCATACATGGTCAGTTTTTAATTTCTTATCGTTGTGTTGTTGCTTCCTCAGATATGCTTAGATATGTTTCTACTTGGTATTTTTTTTATCAAGCTTACTCGCCTGTGTAACAAGTTATTTTTAGTAACAGATATCAGAGTTACACACTATTGTCTTCAAACATAGTTAATAGAGGGGAATGGTTATGGAACCTATTGTTAATTATATGTCTTTGTTGACTTTTTTCAAGCGTGACCATCCACAATCCTTTGTTTTACCATTGTTGGCAATGGCTGAGTGAACAGACAAAAATCTTTCTTTTGGCTGCTGGCTCAAAATAATTAAAGATTTATAAGAGTTATTTGAATATTCCTTACAACAATCCCATAGACAAAAATTATGTTTACTTATTTTGCAATTTCGGATGAGCATAAATCAAACATTGTTCACGGTCAAGACCGGTTCAACATCAAAAGCGAACAAAGACCTGATAACAATAGGTTTCATAACCATTCCCCTCTATTAACTACTAGTACTCGGGCTTCAAACGTGCAATTGTTGGATTTGGGTCAGCTATTGGTCAGCTACTATACTTTTCCTTGTATTGACCCAAAGGCCTCGACTTGTAATAATAAAGTGTAAAGGCTCTGATACCTGCCATTCTTCTAGTTAAAAATACTTTATTTCTATACTGTGCATGTCTGCACACTGGGGTCGTTGTAAAGTATTTTACTATCGCATTCTGACCAACTTACCAAATGAACTTTTGCAGCAGAACCAAGTAGGAAAAGAACATGAGCGACAGCCAAAACCAACACCAGGTTCATGCGGATCTGTGACTGCTCGGATTTAGAGTCTCTGTTGAAAAGCCGTTGTGTTTACTTAGCGAGAGTAGTTTACCAAACTAAAATACATTGGCAAGTAAAACAATGACTTACGTAAAACGCCAATAAGCGAAAAATGTAAGGATACATCCAACAATGGACAAACTAAGACCAATGTTTGTGAGGACTGTAAGAACTGCATCGTGGTCCTGTGGAACCTTGTGGAGGAAAAGAACCACCATAAATTTAAAAGAAATTACGGTTATTATATGAACACTTTCAAAATATACTGGTCTGTTGACTTGATTGACGTCTGTTCCTCACGTGAGAGAACAGTAATCTTACTTGTTCATCCTTGACTTGCATGAGTACAGCAAAGTGTGTCAGGTGATTTAACATGAACACTCTGCATATTGTTCTGTATACTAGATATATTGAAGTCTAGTGATCACGTGATAGTACGGTAGTCTTACCTGTTCATCCTTGACTTGCATGAGTACGGCAAAGTGTGTCAGGTGATTACATGAACACTCTACATATCGGCCTGTAGACTTCACTAACGTACATCCACCATTCGACCATCCGTTTTGCTTTCTTTCCCTTAAAAATAGGGTTAAACGTTTGCCAAGAGATGATGCAAAATATATTTTGTGCATTTGTTCCAATGTTTTATTTTTAAACTTCTGTAATACTATTTTAAAATTATTAATATCAACTGAATATTTTCTACCTTGTTGAGAAATCCCAGAAGACGCATAGCTTCTTATAATCATTTGATGGCTGGACCTGAAGTGTGGAAATAAAGCTAGAAATCGTGTGCTGGAGAATCCAAAAAACTTCATGTCAACATTGTCTCTTTCAACCAACGTGCAAAACGTTGTCAGTGTGAGGTGTGTCCATTCTTATATAATTGAGTGTTTGCATGATATGCCCTGAACATGGACACGTTAATATTGAAATTGAAAATATTTATACGTTTTTAATATATTATATAGAGGATATTACATGGGCGCGCGGAGATACGAAATTTATCTTAGGGTGTTTTAAAGATCAAGAGATTTTCAATACGAGAAGATAAATTTCGTATCTCCAAGCGCCCATGTAATATTCTGTTTATTATATAATTATCCATAAAATCAACTTAACAAGCTTTTTATTATTATAAAAAGTTTTTATTTTTATTTATAAACTAATTGCTTAAATACACATGGTAACGATATTTTCGCATGTGAAAATAACATGTTATTTTCACATGTGAAATATCAGTTTTTCGAAAAGGAGAAATATGGGTATTTTATGGATAATTATATGATAAATATACATATTATATATTATATATATTTTTATATTATTGTTTATATATTATTATTGATTTTTAATATTTATTTATGTTCAGTCGTAAATTAGATCTTATTAACCAAGCGGAAGGTCTGTACGGGATAATCTTGACCGAGGTCGGAATGTACAGACCGAGCACAGCGAGGTCTGTACCCGACCGAGGTCAAGATTATCCCGTACAGACCGACCAAGCTCGGTTGATAAGAGTTTTATTATATGACCACTTTTCATGACAAAATGTTTTCGCCGTAAGATTAATATGCGATCGGACCGGTTAATACCGGAGAATCTAGACCAGTCCGCGATGCGATCTATCCAATCAGATTGCTCGATTTGCTAGTGTCTAGGCTCTAAGATTCACGGTCATATAATAATGAATGATTAATACTCGACGGATTTAATTTTTTTTTAAATGACTTTTCAATGTCATGTCACTTTTCTCACTTACTTGTGAGGTGGATAGCTTCAGTGTAACGTTCTTTATCAAGATCTTTGGGTGTGGCTTAACAGAGATTGATAGAATCCTGGATTGGAGCATTAACTGGGGGAAAAGGAAGACACAATTGAGAAAGCAAAAAGAGAATGCATGGTGCTATATTAAAAAACAAAACTAAAAGAAACTATATATTTAACTCAAAAGTCAGTTGCATTAAGTTTATTTTGCATCGACAAAGAGCTAACCTGTTTTCGCTGATCTTGTAAGAGTGCCTTGATATCAAAGTGCCCAGTCGTTTGAAAGACATGCTTACGATAATCGAATCTTAAAAAAAGAATGATGCTAGCTTGAAAAACCCTTAATTTGTATGTACTCCATAATTTATTGTCGTTGTTTTTTGAGAGAATGCTGATGGTTACATTTGGCAACATGACTGCTATTGTTGCGCTTGTTGTTCTATTGTTGCACTTGTTGTTCCATTGTTCTATTATGTTTTGTTGTTGTTGCATGTTGTTGTTGCGGCTGCTGCTGTTTATATAGCTGCTGTTTCTGCTGGTGATATTGTTGAACTGCTCTCTGTTGTCGATGCTGTGGTTGTCGTTAGCGCAGTTTTCGTATGACTGTGAAAAGCTCAGTGCCGTAAGCGTGACGTGCCGTGACCGTGATACTTTTTATAATTTTAAATGGCTGATTTTTTTCACGCGCGATATGATTGGTCTAAAAGTGCCGTCACTGTCACTGTCACTGTCACTGTCACTGTCACTGTCACTGTCACTGTCACTGTCACTGTCACTGTCACTGTTGTTGCTGGAATTATTATTGTAGTGAAATATCACCACGACTTTACAGTAAATGTCTGTATGCATCAAAGGAAAAATCATACCCTGTTTGAAGTTTTCCCTAAGAAGGTTTATCTCCCTTTCATTAGTAAGGTCGGTTGTTCCAAAGATGTAGTCTTCATCCTGGGAACCAACCTTTCTTGCATTGACAACTAAACAAAATCAAGGAAATAAAAGAATAATGATAAAACACGCCACTAAGCAATAAATTAKAATGTGGCTGTTTTCATTGTAGAATGCTTTGCATTTCATTTCTTTCCCCAAATCTTCTGATCAGAATGGTTATAACTAATATTATTATTTTAAGAATATTTTACTAGATATTACAATAAAAAATATCTGCGAACTTCTTACTATAGTTTTCTCCCATGATCGATATCGTACCAGCACTTTTATTAAAGTGATATTCAGCGTATTGTAGAATAAAAGATTCGAGATTTTTGCTCGCAAGAAGCACATCCTCATCTTTCAAGTTGGTCATGGAGGCAGTTGTCTCCATTAACAAGCCGTCCATCATGTTTATGGATTTCTGTGGGAGAAAGAAATTCAAGAACTGCTTATGGCGATTTAATGCGTATTTTCCCATTTTCCTATTACCAGTTTCTCCAAAACTCTACATCATAAGCTGAAAAACGTTTGTCTTCATATGAAGGTCAAGATACTCTTTCCATTTTTGTTGTTCATTTTAATACAACTTTTGATACGTCAAACTAAGGGACACGTGACCTCTTGGTGCAAGTGACGCATTGGTTGAAGTTCTGAATAATATAATTGTATATATGCTAAAGTATGCTGTAATTTGCGCTAACGTGGAATAACAATAGAGTACAAACACTAAAAGTGTGTAACACTTTGCACTATTTAGTAGTAAATAGTGCTAATTAAACAATAGAAAACAATAGCTAGGATTAGCATAATTCAACAGTATTTAGTGGTATTTATGCTGCACACTTATAGTGTTTGTACTCTACCCACTGGCAGTTGAAAATATTTCTTAACTTACGTTCAAAGAATCTGGCTGCTTGAAGTCGAGCTGTGAGATGTTTTGAAGGAAGGAATGAATCTAATAAAGAAAGGACAAACAGCAACGTGTTAATTGTAATGCTTCCTGACGCTCTCCTGATGATTAGAATACTAATTAAAGTAAAATAAAGCCAAGTTCAACGATACCAAAACCGCTGTCTGGTTTATCGTGTATTCTTTAGATCTTGTCAAAGTCGTTGATGATGCTGAGAATGATACACTAAGTGACGCCAGAGATGACATATGATTACTAGTGATAGAAAATTGCCATGATGATAGCGATGATAACGTTGGAGTCATTAAATGTGATAGTGTCTTCTCTTGGTTTGAAGATTTCACATCAGATAAAAACGACATTGTTTGGCTTGAATATTGTATGTAGAATGTGGATAACGATGATGGCTGTAGATGTACAGTTTTCAGATTCGTAGCTTCACTTGGCATGAATGTAACAGACGCCAGAGATGTCATTTGGTTATCAGTGCTAGAAATGGTCCATGGTAATGACGATGACAATGTTGGAGTTATCAAATTTGAATGGTAGCTTTCTTGCTTTGTGGATTTCGTATCTGATGATGATGATGATTTTTTATAGATTGAATATGGCGATGACGATGATTCCAACGACGAGGTTGATATTGAAGCCATCTTTTGTATTCCTACTGTTGACGAGTAAGCCAGCGTTGAGTTTTCTACTAACAGAAACACATTAAAATATTTAGTTAATGCTTTAGTTATGATATTTAAGTTTAAAACTGTTCTCTCCTGTTAATGGCTTTTGTCCGAGTTCTGCAATTTCCTTCGCTTCGCAAAACCCATGCAATTAAATTCCAACTTGATCTGTCACTTATCTGTGCCCTGATTTAGATTAGCCCAGAGGCTGTTTTAGTGTTCAATAAAATCATAGAATTAAATGCTTAGCTTTAGAAGGAGGGGAAGGGATATCTAAAAAGTTACAACTTACCTCCACCGTCTCGGCTTTTTTCGCAGATAAACTTCAAATAACTAGAGCAATAAGAAGTCTTATAATAGCATACTTGTCGTAGCTCTGTATAATAGCACATACTCCCGAGGAACCTATTTTGACTGTTTTCTTAGCATCAGCTTTAACACCATCCTCCCAATACCATCCGTCACTTGTATTTCTCAGTCCAATGAAAAATTCAGTACTTTGAATGCTCAGTACATTTCGAAAAAAATCTTGTCGATCAAGGCTGGCATTACGTAATGCCGCCGTGATAAGATTTGCACCCTTGTCTATGCAAAATTTCTTTGCATCGGCATATGAATAAGAAGCAACAGAAGGGAAAAAACATCCATATGGAGTGTCCTTCCAGTCAGCGGGACACCCAGCTGACGAGAGCGACGTTGAACCTGTTACGTTAACAACATAAAATCATTTTAAACAACTTAATTAAAATTTGGTTGACGTTAATTTTTTCTAAATCTTGGGTTGATATTTTACGCATTGCTGGTTGTCCCCCCCCCCCCCCCCTTCCTGACAGGACAGGAACAATTGAATCTGGTCTAATCCGGCTGCTGGTCTAATCCGGCTGCTGGTCTAATCCGGCTGCTGGTCTAATCCGGCTGCTGGTCTAATCCAGCTGCTGGTCTAATCCAGCTGCTGGTCTAATCCGGCTGCTGGTCTAATCCGGCTGACTAACAGGGTCGCAGGGAACCTCTTGACATGGCTGCCGTGACTTGATGGTGCAAATCTCAATTGTTATAACAATATTAATTATGTATTTGTTACCAGACCCTGACGGGCGACCACATGGTTTTTGTATTGTAGTTTCGTTAGATTATTATTGTTATTTGACACAACACCCGAGTCAATATTTCCTTTTACAGTTCCCTGAGACATCTTGAAAATTAACATCGAAGCGAGAACGGCGAGAACTTTGCAATACTGACAATTAAAGACCTTTTTTAACACCTGGGACACTGATTATTCACATGTCTTTATCATCATTGCAAGGTCTTTGCCAATCTCGCTTCGATGTACAAGCAAGGTTGTCTTTCGAGGCGACGCAGAGAACTGTAAAGGAGACTATTCCTCGACTATTCAGCTGCAGACCAATGCATGAATTTCATTAATTTACTTTTACAGGTTTCAATCAATCAATATATGTATTCATTGCCATTATAGTTGGGCTCTTGAGCCACACGATGGATTTAATAAAAAATTCAACACTCTACCTGATGCAAAAAAGAAGAGAAGAAAGTAGCTTCTTGTTCTCAACATTTCCATGAATTGTCGATTCCAGCTGAAATTTCAAAGCAAAAAAATGCACGTCCCCAACAAAGGGGAATCAAAATTTTAAAAAATTGGATCACAAAAGCTAGGCATTTTTAATAGGGGTATGACTATAGCTATCTTTATAGTTGAAAACGACTTCATTTGAGAATCGAAATGAAACCTCTAGCGCCTGACACGCAAATACGTTGCACCACTCTTGACATGCAATATATGGCTAATGTAAAGTTTTTTGGTATCCCTCTTCCTACAAGCTTTTTTCTACTGGTTTCCGGGTTTTCCAGTCACTTCTTAAAGCCTAGCAAGCTAAATTCCAATTCGATCTTGGAGCCGTGTTCTGACTTGGATCAGCCCAGATGTCGTTTGCTTGTTTCATTCAAATTAATGTTCGATGTGTGACTTAGCAGTGCACTAACTTGATCAGCCAGAGGTTGTTTCAGGATTTGATCTGTGAGTTAGCCGTGCCTGACTTAGATCACAATGGTTGTTCCAGGGTTTGATCAGTGAGTTAGCCGTGGCGTGACGTAGATCAGACCAGAGGTTGCTCAGGGTATATAACAGTTCAGTAGTAACATAGTTACTTTTCACTCTTTAAAAATAAACTAATAACCACGACGACGAGAACTGTTAAAATAGATATTTGCAGTGGCGTCAGCTTGGACGAACAATTATTACAACTCACGCATTAAAGTTTCTAATTGAAGTAACGAATATTTGAAATATCTTGTTATTTCCGAGTGACAGCAAAGAAGTGATGGTCGTGTAGAACCATTTCAAAATCAGTGCCATGTAACATCCATAAAAAAATATCTTAGAAAACAAGATTGATTATTAGAGTTAAAAAAATATAGTCCCATTTATGACGTTAGAAAAATTTCATCAGCAACAATTTCATAAAATTTTTAATAACTGAAGAATAAAATGCCTTCGACTTTAAATAAATTAACTATGTATTTTGATTTTGCATTATATACTCACTTCATCCTTTCAAATTCTGTTAGATGAGAGAAGGATTTTCTTTTTCATGTGATTTGAACTTCAAGACGATCGATCAAAAAAATGAAAACAAACTCAATGTTCCGCTGATTCTAATGAAATAGTTATGTAGTAGCTTTCTTGTCACATGAAAAACAAAAAACTGAAAAGGGCGGTTTCGTATTTGTTTCTGTAGGATTGAGTCAACAAAAGATATATTTTTAATTAAGGAAAGGTCGACACGCGCCCGGAAAGTTTATTACTCTCTGGAACTCTCTAAGACACGAGTTCAATCAAGTTTATTGAAAGCTTTTATTTCATTTTTTACACGTTTTATTTTATGTTTGCATTAGGACACTTTCATGATTCCTAGCATCAGTTGGCTAAATAAACTTCGATTTAAATTTAAAGTTAGTAAAGGCTGACACGTAAGGCAAGAATAAAAGATATATACATATATATATATATAATAGAATAGTGATGGATATAGTAAATAAACTAAGGCATAATAGGGTTTTCACCACAGCGCTGTTTCAAGAGAGCCGCAAGGCTCTCTCTCCTCAGGTGAAGTGATCTTTAATACAAACTTGTCGGTCTTATAGACGAATACATTACAGAAATTTCAAAAGATATTTTGAGGAATGCCGGCATGCAGCTGCCAATTCTTTACGCTTGTTCAAACTGCTCAACTGAGGCTTTGTTATTAGAAAGAAAGTAAGAAAGAAAGAAAGAAAGAAAGGTATATAGTAAAGAATATATATATAAAAAATTAACCCGATTTTCCAGTTATTTTGCAAAATACTAACCTGAAAGGAGTTCAGTATAGTAAATATATATTTCTGCTTTATTATCTTTGATTTGGAGCATTGCACGACATTTAGCGCTTGATAAATAATAGTTCGTTACGTCATCGCGGCCAAATTTCTTCCATTGTTAACCGTACCAAGATAGTCGCACTCGTTTTTATAAACACACTGAAGTTATAGAGCTGTAGGGCACAAGAGAAGCAAGACGAAGAAATGTATCATAGTTTTTAACCTGCTTTTTGATCGAGTGCTCATCGTTTAGCTTATCTAAAAATACTTACAATGTTACTTGTAGCAGCAGAGCCGAGTAGGAAAAGAATATGAGCGACAGTCAAGACGAGCACGAGGTTCAAGCGTATCTATGACTGCTCTGATTGCACATCCCTGATATTAAAAGGAAGAGAGATTTGACGACCTCAGGCTTGAGGGTAAAAACCTAATCTTGATTATAAAACATTTCGAAATTAACTTCAGACGACGCTTCGACGTTCATGACTCGCGTCATTACTCAAGTCAAAAGAAAACACGGATAAATATGAATAATTATAAAATCTGAATACCCAAGGGGGGAAATGATGTGGAATGTCACGTGAATATTTTCAATATTCAGATAATTGTATAAGTTATGCCCCGTCCACACTATGCCGGATAAATTTGAATCCGAATTTTTATTTATTCGGTTAGGCCTACCGTCCACACTAGTGCGGGCGAATCCGAAACAATTCACATGCTCATGCACATGCTCAGATGTGCAATGAAGCGTTTTTGCCACCTCTGATCGAACTAATGTGGACGCCAACATTTTATCCGTTTTCATGTGTGGACGGAAAACCTTTTTTTCGGTTTCGGTGCGAAAGTTAAGTTGCGGATTCAAATTTATCCGGCATAGTGTGGACGAGGCCTTTGCTTTACAAAGACACCAGTGAAATCCCTTGACTTGTGCCTTTAAAAAATGTACGCGTTTAAGTGGCATATTCTAGAATGCACGCCATGTATCCGTGAAACAAAACCAAGGGCGTATTGTCTAATTGCAGCTATTTGGCTGCTATTTTATACTAATAGTGGATATTGATGTAACAGAACATTGGGAACAAAAGCAAATACCGTTACCCGCCTTTATTTGGTTAATGACTGAGTGACTTGATCAGCCAGAGGTTGTTTCAGGGTTCTATCTGTGAGCCATGAGTTAGCCGTGAGTTAGCCGTAAGTAAGCCATGAGTTAGTTTTTTCTTTTTTCTTTTTTTTTCTTTTTATCGTAATAAAAACCTTCTTTTATTTGATGGAATACTGAAAGGTTTATTTATTTATTTATTTATTCATTTTTTGGATTTTAGCCAATTTTAAGATCTGAGAGTAGTAGATCAAGCGCGCGCCGGATTGCCACTTAAATTTGATACATTCTATACTACTCTTCAAACAAAGTAGCGGAAGTTATTTTTTCAACTTTGCCTGATTTTTTTCCTTTACGCCTATAAGGTAAATAATGTATTTATTAGTTCATATAATAGGGAAAGCAAGACTACCATGGTGTGTATTGTATTATCTTTTATTGATTTATTCGTCAAAAACTTACTTATTCTAAGTTGCTCAAAGCAGCTGTAATTCAAAACATTTTTTCTCGCATTAAAAATTATTTAAGATATCTTTTTGTATAATATAATAGCATAGCATAAGAAAATCTTTCTGAAAAACTCCACTGTCTTCATTGTTTCTTAGTCTTAAATAAATATATGAATAAAATTGATGAAGAATGGTAAGTTTGTTTAGGGTTTTTTGGAGTTTAAACGACTGAATTTGTGTTTATTTTGCTATACAAATAAAATGAATTAAATGAAAAATAATCATAAAAGGAGGTTCAGGTTTTTTTCCTCAAAACTTTATGTACTACAACTTTTTTTACTGGTTTCGCAGGGATTTCTTTAGATAAATAACATAACTCGCTTAAGAGCAAGTACCCTGACTTAGTTAGATCTGCCCGCAGATGTTGTTTCAGGGTTTGATCTGTGAGTTAGCCGTGCCCTGACTTGGATCACTCTAGAGGTTGTTTCAGGGTTCCATCTGTGAGTTAGCCGTGCTCTGGCATTAAGATCAGACCAGAGGTTGTTCCAGGGTTCGATCTGTGAGTTAGCTGTGCCCTGGCTTCGATCAGCACAAAGGTTGTTTCTTACATCAACCAGAGCGCGATGTGGCTTTTGTAAAGCCACATCGTTGAGCAAATAAAGAAAGCAATTCAAATTAGAATCACAATTTAGTGCTTGCATTAAACTCCACAAAATCCGAAGGGTCAAAATCCGAAATAGTCAGCCCTCCCGGTGATTGTTTTCTTGCTTTAGGTCTTTTTGATATCGTTGGAATTTTTGTGAAGGCTTCTTTCTTTACGTGTCCTCTGTGTCTGTAATTATAAACATGAAATATATTGTCTTGTCTAGGGCGGTTTTCTTCAAGCGCTTGGACCTTGCGTCGAAATTTCCCTTGAATCTGAAAAAGTTATAATTCATTTCCTTTTAGATGCGCAAATATCTTTTTTTTCTTCTTCCAATGCGCTTAAAAATGTATTCGGATTGATAATATGATAATGTCACAGAAAGAGAAATTGATGAGAATAATGATACGTAAAAAAACTTGTACGACATCAAATTACCTCGGAATTTCTCCAGCAATGAAACACAAAAATTAAGAATCCCTGTATGAGAAATGAAAAGTATAAGATTTTTAAAAAAACATTCATAATATTATCTTTTATTAAAAAAGCATATTATTGAAACAAAATCGTGGAATAATAATATATGTCTGACTCTCTTTTCGTTTGTTTGACGCAATGAGTGTCCTCTTCCTCACCAGAAGGCCATGAGTTTTTTCAAGGTTTTCCAAATTTCCGGTTTTTTCGATAACAATATCAACATACGTGAATTAAGAGTCGTGTATATGCATAGAGTATTGAATGCAGTGTAAGTGTGTATGTGTGATAAGTGAAATATCGCCAAATGGTACCTAATCTATCTAGCTAGGCATAATATTTTTATGTTTCAGAACACGCGTCATCCTCCTACCCTGAGCTTGAGAATAAGATTTATTTGTATCCCTATAAATGGGTCTTTTCATACACACTTGTCAAACAAAGAAATTATACTCTAGGGAATGACGCTTGGTCTGAAATGGGAAAACAGTGGATTTGGTCTATGGAAGCTAGTATTCACGCTGATCTTTTGACTTCATTAAAAGTCTCGAATGCTTTGTTAAAATTAAAGTTATTTAAGATAAAACCAATCGCTTTTTACCTGGGTTGAGTTGAGAATGGTAAAAATGTACAAGCCAATAACGTCTGCTCCCAGGATACATAGCAGTCCCATTAGCCACGTGACTCCAAGTAAAGGAGCTAATACAATCAGTGCTTTGATACTGGACCTGCGTATTAGATTCGTGAAGATGAACTAAGTCAATCTCGTACCCAGAGTCTGCGGCGAAAAAAGAGGGCTCGGGCATAATCAAATTTTTGGCGCAATTTTTCGGAAGTGAAATATAATCAATGAAAATCATGCTTTCAAACAGAGTTCTGTGTTTAGTTACGATCAAAATAAAAATTTGAAATCGGGAACATATTTTTTAATTTTTGGCAAGTCTTTTAACGCATGCGCTCTTTCTTGGAAGTCCAAGAAATCCTGGTCTCAAAAAATGGATTATGCCAGAGCCCTCGTTTTTCACCGCAGGCCAGAAGAAACGCAGGCTCTGGGTACGAGATTGAAACGAAGCCTGTTCAGAAATGACAAAAAGGTAACGTGCATCTTTTATATGGCTTGCAGGAAGTTAAATTGCACGTGCACGTGCATAATGGAAGACATCGATCCTCTTTTCGTTGTCTCTGTGTCTGTCTTTTTGTCTGTCCGTTTTTCTTCCTGCTTGACTCTCTGCCTGCCTGTATGTATGTTTGCTTTTCTATTTGTCTGTTTGTTTGAAGTCTTTGTTTGCTTACTTGCTAACTTGCTAACTTGCTTCCTTGTTCTGTCTGTCTGTCTGTATGCCGGTGGGTTATTGGATTAACTAATTGGTTTCATTGAAAAGTCCGTTTTGAACAATCGATTTGTTTGCTCAGTTGTCCCTTTTGTCCTTGTCTATTCACTCTCTCCTTTCTAAGAGCGAAAGGAAAGGTAGAATAATACACGTCTTAACAAATAAGGGTCTTTTTCACGCGGCAGCCATGTTGGTTGGAACAATAGATTCTACCACGTGTAGTCTCGCATACAAGAGTTTGAGAATGAGTTTATGCGGGTGAAACAAAGGATTTACTCTCATGAGGATAAATATGGCTGCCGTGTGATAAAGGTCCATAGTACGACTTACATTAATTGCAGCTGCATACCTGAGTGATATCTTTCCGTGTTGATCTCCGATTGGCTGGTTTATTCTATTCATTTCTTTGACGACCATTCCAAGAACAATCAAATTACTCTAGAGTAGAAAAAAAAATTAGAACAATAGAATAATAACAGAAACTTGTGCATCATATCTCAACTTCTTCCCAGTAGCTTGCATCAACATTAAGAATCAACCACACCCTAAATCCATTGTTTGATGTAGGTTCTTAAATTCTTCGGAAAACCCAGATTCTTAAAGCCGGGGGCGGAATTGATATCAACAGGGGAGAACGGGGCTGAATTATAAACCCGGGATAGGTTTTTAATTACACGGAGATATCGTAAGCACTCTATTTCCAAAAGAACAAAGCAACAGTAATCTATCTCTCTGAATTCACTATAATTTATTATTACGTGTTTTGCATCGAAACAATGGAATTTAGGGCTTAGTTGATATTTTAAACCAGTTCAAACGCTAGGGCGAGGTTTCGCATTAGAATTCAAGACCTCGGGCATGCGGCCCTCGGTCTTGAATTCTAATGCAAAACCTCGCCCTAGCGTTTGAACCTTTATTTACTAACCAGTATGAGGAGAATCACCGGTGCAATAAACGTCCAAATCAAGTGGTTGTCAACGGATAGCCAGCAGCTGAGGAGAAATAAACAAGAATCATTGCAGATCAATAGTTATTCACATAGTCCAGTTTCGAGTTCCAAATTACTGCTGTGTTTCTTGATTACAGACTCATTTGCTCAGGCTAAGCCTCAAATTAGTATCTAATCACTCGCAAATACCAACGGTAAAGTAAAGAATGCACAACTTCAACAATACAAGCACTTTGAAACTTGACGGACCTTGACTGGAACACGTAAATATTCTTCGCAAAATCGAGGCTAAGCCTGAGTAAATGAGTCTGTAATCAAGAAACACAGCGGTAATTTGGAACTCGAAGTTAGGGGTCATGCAACCCTAATGTGAGCTAAAGCACTTTTTCGTTATCACCTCATAGGGCAATATAATGCGAACATTGAAAATAAGTCGTAAAACACTCTGGTAATAGACCTATCCCGAATTCGCTTGACTGACCACGAAACAATGGTTTGAAGTCAAGACTGAACTTGATTCTTTTATTCATCAAGTTCAACCTCGACTTGAAACCATTGTTTCGTGAGCAGTCAAGCGAATTCGGGATAGGTCTATTGTATTAAATTCGATCTTTCGATGGCCTTTTATGACAACTATTTAAACAGGATTCCCCTGAACGATTAGAGTGCAAAGAATTCATCCGTGAAATACTAATTACATAGAGGATATTACATGGGCGCGCAGAGATACGAATCTTATCTTCTCGTGTTCAATTGATATCTCACGAGTGAGCCCAGCGAATGAGTGAGATGTCTACATTGAACACGAGAAGATAAAATTCGTATCTCTGCGCGCCCATGTAATGTTCTGTTTATTATATAGATATCGATGAAACTTAAATAAAACAAAAGCTCAAAAATTCTATATTAAAATACATTACTATGTCAACAGCGATATCTTCACGTGTGAAAGATATGGTATGTTCCACTGGTGAAAGATATCAAGTTTTCGACACTAGAGAAAACCTGGTATTTCATCGATATCTTTATAATAATGAATAGTACAAAATAGTGCTAATCAAACAATAGAAAACATTGGAATTTGCATGAAATTGTGCTATTTAGTGTTACTAAAGTTTCACAGTTATATTGTTTGCACTCTATCATGAAAATAAGATAAACGCTTACAAATCATCATTAACGAAGCTTGACAGACCACCAGAACCATTGCCTGCGATGCTTAGTGAAACTGTGATGAGAAGTAAAGGGAAACCTGAAGGAAGAAAATATCATATTGAAAAAAAAAAAGAAAATGATGTCTGCGTTTACAATATACCTTTTTAACTTCGTATGCAAATTGTCCTATCAGATCACATGACATTCCCTTGAGAATTGATCTTTTATGACGAATATGGTAAAATACGTACACATGAAAGAATCAACTCCCAAGAGTGGGATCACATGGTCTGGAATGTGCACAACAAACTATTGGGTAAAATGTATATTTATAACTTCATTAGTTAGAGCAGCATCGATTTTTCATTTTGGATCATTTCATCCATTGTTTTTACACAAGCCTCTATTTATCTCTGAGCTGTGCCAAGACCTTGATTTCGTTATATATTAATAAAATATTTGATGATCGTAGGTTTGAAAAGGAAGACGGTCGTTATAGAAGGGTAGCTTACTAGAGGATGCTATGCGCTCGACATTAAGAGGTGGTCGTATGGAGGGATCCATCTATCGGGATGTTATCATTCAATACTCACCCCAAGCAAAGCCATAAACCTGTCTCATTTTAAGGTTGGTATTAAACACCTTGATAACCTGCATGTATAGTTGTATTCCTTCAGCAAACATCCAGCACAAGGCAGACGTGTAGAACAACTGCAGCAACACAGCAACCGAGACGCAAACAACCTTTAAGAGGAAAAGATTGAATATGAATATCCATGCTGAGCAGAAGAAACGGCGTTTTCATCCTTCAACAAATAACTAGATTTTCAATTTCAAATTTCTCTACAATTTGTTTGTTATTATACTTTATAATTGCATGAATTTAAGCATTTATCGAGGGAAAATAAATAGTGTTGAGGCTGATTCAATGTTCTTTGTATTCAATAAAATCATTGGCATGTCGGAATTTCCTATCGCCTATAGGCGACAACATTTTTTGGAATAGGTGTATAGTGCAGTTTTTGTATGACCATGAAAAGTTCATGGCACGAAGACGGTCGTGACACAGCAAAGGAAACGCCAGACAAATCACATTGCACGAGAATTTACTTTCCATCCAATCAAATACCCGGAACACGGCATGAACACGGCGCGGACACGGTCACACCAAGGTCACGGCAATGCCAAACCAATCACATTGCGCGTGAAAAAATCAGCCAATTAAAATTCTAGAAAGCATCACGGTCACGGCACCTCACGCTTACGGCATTGAGCTTTTCACATTCATACGAAAACTGCTCTATACCTTAGGTTAAGACTAACACGGCTGGTGCTCTTACCAAATGGAATCTTGCAGCAGAGCCAAGTAGGAATAGAATATGAGCCACAGCCAAGACGAACACCAGATTCATGCGGATTTGTGACTGCTCTGATTTTGCTTCCCTTTTGAATAAAAAAAGGTGAGCAGAAAAATATCCAACAGAATTCCATGTCTCTTTAGAGAATAACCGTGGTCTTCAAAGGGAATACAATCTTGGTCAAACTAATGGGGTTTTGTGTAATAAAACAGTAACACTGGTACCGAAAATTTAAAGGATTCAGTATTCTTGGAGTTCATGTTACGTTAACGAAGTCGCGTAAAAAATGAGCCAGCTCAACTAGAAACCGTTGACAGTTGTTTCCCAATACAGGCCGAAACAGCTGTCCACGGTTTCTAATAATTGAGCTGGCTCATTTTTTACGCGACTTGAAGTTGTGAAAGGCTTGTATGGCACTCTTCTTCAGTCGTTTCATCTAAGGCTCGTAATTTACCTATTACGTATGTAATTTATATAGAATTGGAAATGTTCAAGAGAAAGCCTGCGAACGTAACATCGAATTAGCTTCCCACTTATAACTCCGATATAATACTTACGTAAAAAACCAATAAGAAAGAAACGTAATTACACACCCAACAATGGACAAACCAAGACCAAATTTAGTCAGGGTCGTAAGGATGGCATCCTCATTGCGAGAAAGCTAACGAGATAAATAGAAACATATAAGATTGTCAAAACGGTAAAAGCGATAAATCAGAGGATGTGTGTAGGGAAATAAATTATTTTGGAATTGGACTTATAGTTTCAGGCGCTGTGATTGGTTGACCGACCCGTGTTTATGAGACGATATTCACTGCTCGAGCGGCGTGATTACGAGGTTCCCCTCTCGAAGACTCGCGGCTCGGCAAGTATTCACCTATAATCAGTTCGCCTTTGGCAATTAACTGTTGATCAAGTGGAAGAAACTACGACGGATCTTTGATTTTTAGGGCGCATTATAAACACAAGAGAGGAACTTTTTTTGTGTTCCTGTATTTTACCTTCTTATTGTCGGTTCTCATGAGTACAGCAAAGTGTGTCAGGTGATTACATGAACACTCTACGTGTTCTCCTGTAGTGCTAGTAACAATGCAGCCATCACGTGACCATCCTGCGTCCTTTTCACGTCTAAAAAATATGACGTAAACTTATCGTATAACCTAGTTTAAAAGTTTTTTAAAAAAACTTTCCAGAACTCTTCACTTACGTCGTAGAAAAACGCCAAAAGACGCACTCCTTTTTAGATTCAGAATCGGCAGCAGACTTAAAGAGAATAAATAAGCAAACAAATTAGAAAAAAATCTTATTGGCTTGAAGAACCTGGCTTGTAAATAAATATGGTTGCTCCGTGATTAAGGTCTATTGTGCGACTTCGCGCGCATGCTTTGGAGAACGAGTTTATGCGTTACCTGCGGGGAAATCTTGAAGACCATTGTAGCATTGATTTTAAGATTCTGTCGTTTTGGCTTTATGCTTGTAGATATAATCCTGGATTTTAGTTCGTACCTAGAACAAAAAATAAATAAATAAATAAAAGCATATAAAATGTTTATTACATGAACAAGAACAGGGTTAGGGTCTTGCTTTTTACACTATTCTTGGAGGCAAACACATCTTTGGCAGCTTTTTAGACCTCTTTATTCACCTATCATTTTGTAGCTTGTAACTTTGGCCTTCCATCAAGTAATGCATTCGTTTGAACGCAATACTCAAGATCAGCGTGCCTGATAAAGAAATAGATAACATTTGAGTGATCCATGTTTGGCCACTTAATCCTCCACATCCATAATTCGTCGCTGACTGGCTTGTAGATTTTTTTGATAATATAAGAGGACAGCGGCATGCGTATGCATAAAAATGACGACCGTCATAGGTGATCATGACGATACCTTGGTTCTACTTCTATCTAGCTGATCCAAGAGAAGATGTTGGGTGATCAGAATCGAGAAAATGTGCAAAACTGAAGTGTCACTTTTCCTCTTAACATTGATTTGCAGTCCACCAAATGGAGAAAAAAAGACGTAGTCAATAAGAGGTTGATAGCAGTAACACAATAGCTAATGAGTTTTATATTTTTATTACAACGGTGGACAGGTTTTTATTTTTTGCTGGTCAGTAGTCCCCTTCACGGTTCCCTGCGCCATCTTGAAAGGTAGCCGGGCCTTTGCAACGAAGCAAGACGAATGAGCTTGAAATGATAGATACCTTCTTTTTAACGCCTTGGACAATTATTCACATGTCTCTATCATTGCAAGCTCACCGTTCGTCTCGCTTCGATGCAAAGGCATGGCTACCTTTCAAGATGGCGCAGTGAACCGTGAAGGGGACTATTTTCACAGGCTTCATGACACCTCGGTTTTGCAGTGACGTCATTTCTACGTCACTCTTTCAGATCAGCTGGATGTTTGTTAAGCGTACATAGAAAATAGAAAGTGACTTCCATTTGTTAAATCAACATCCGTTAGTTCACACCTTGCCGTCAGCGCGCACCTCAACACGAAGCACATATATGATCTATGAGCTTCGTTTTATCTATCGCATTATAACAGAAACTTACCGTTGGTGACAAAGTTTTCTTTTGGTAGAATTATTGTGCTTTCCTCGCCATCACTTCCTGATACTCCGAATTTGTAACTGTCGTTTCCTGGGTAACACTTTTCACCCTGCAAAACTATGACAAAATCAATCATAAAGATCTTGCCATCAAATATTAGGAGCTCATGGCGAGAAATTCTGAATTTCAAGAATTTCAAGTTTATATGACCATATATGTATTTAGAAGTATAATTGCTAGTCACGTGTCAGTTCTATCTGTAATGTTTATAGTTTCTGTGATAGTCGTCGTACCTATATTTCTTTGGTTGTAATAAAATGCCGCACCATTCCAATGGTAGTCGATGTAACGAAGTGCAAACTCTTCTAAAACTTTGCTTGCAGTCAGAGGATTGTGATTGGTGCTGTAGTCTGTTGGTTTCATTGACGTAAGAAGGATTTCCATCATGGCCAAAGATTTCTAATGAAAATCATATTGAATTAGTTGTTGTTTATTTTTACATACGTCCTTGTACAGACCAGTACGTATGTTTCGAGGTGGGGGTTGGTGTGGTGTAGTGAGAGTACCAGAGTTGGTGAAGTGATAAAACGCATTTTAGCGCGGAAATTCCATTCGAATCCACAGTAGTCTAACAACATAAGAAGAAAAAAAAATTTTTTTACTATGAATGAAGCACTGTACAAAATATACTTAATTCAACTTGACTTGGCTATTCCAATTCATCCTAGGCCTTGAGAGTAAGATTATATGTCTTCTCATGCACATCGGTTGAACAAAGGATGAAATGATATTCTAGGGAATGCCACACGTTGTGTGTGACGGGAAAACATTGCACCTAGAAGAATGACGCTCGGCTTGAGCCAACGATGTGCGCGCGCTCAAAAACCACTGAATAGTCTTCACGATTTCATTAAAGAACCATACACATTTTGAAATTCAATTACAAGAGGGTAAAACCCTCAAATTTTGCACGGGACTCTATACGTTTTATGAGCTTGTTAAAAAAAAACTCCTAAAATTCTAGGTTATATCATTTTTTAGAAAAAGATGAAAAAGTCGTTAAAAAAAGGATTATTTTGTTCGACTTTATGAGAGTTTTTGATGAGAAGACAGAAGGGACAAAATATTACAAATCGATGTGCTTCTTTGTCGTTTTGTCAAAAATATCCACGTATTATTTATCGTAGAATAATATACACTAACCGTCATTTGTGCAATCATAAAGTCTGCAAAGAACTATTATCTTATGGATTTTTTCAGTTTTTCTGATCACTTACGGTGGCGCAATTTTTGTCCCAAAAACTCGCGCGTAGGCATCCACTAAATGCCCATTATCTCGAAAACGAGCTCGGGAAGCCCCATTTTTATTTTCATATTTGGAATCAGCGTTAAATTTCAGGGTAAGGAAGTTTCAAGCTTCAATTTTCTGTTTATTTTTTATTTTCAAGAAAAAGAGATTATATTCGCGAAGGCAGGCCTTCAAAAACGTGAAACCAAGTGTTTACTATTCTAGTAAGACAACATACTTACGTTCAAAGATGAGATGTCCTTAAAATCAAGATTGGTAATGTTTTCAATAAAGGAATCAATCTACGTAAGAAAGACAAAATGATTAATATAACGCATGCGCACACCACAATAGTCTCCTCCGTAGCCGTCCTTAGGTATGGTCCCAGATCCTCACGCCGAGTCCGTGAAGATGTAGGACCGAATCTAATGACGGCAGCGAACCGGAGGGGACTATAACACCACAAGTTTCTTACCAACGTAGTCGTGAAAAGTGCCACTTAATATTTGGCTATGAACATGAACGACCTGTCTATAAAATGACTAAACTGTTTTTGATTAAGCTTTTGAAGATGAAGATGGCCTTCATGATAATACCCTATTTCTTTGCTTACATTATTTTCGCTTCCCATTGTGTCTGCAATTACACTGGCAGAAGATACTGGCACTTTTTTGATGCTGCTTGTCAACACTACCACAACAGGAACACCAGGAGTACTAGCGGGCCAGCTTTGACCGGCGGAGGTTGTTGAACTTATCGGGGAAGCCGCATTCTTGTCACTTCCCATCGTATCTCTCAAACTCGCAGAAGTCAACGGCACTGTCTTGGTGCTGTTTGTCAACATTTCCACAACAGAAACACGAGAGGTTCTAACAGGCCAGTTCTTTTTGGTGGAGATTGACGAACTTATCGGGGAAGCCGCATTCTTGTCACTTCCCATCGTATCTGCAATCACACTCGTAGAAGGCAACGGTACTGTCTTGGTTTTGCTTGTCAACATCTCCACAACAGAAACACGAGAGGTTCTAACAGGCCAGTTCTTTTTGTTGGAGGTTGACCAACGTATCGAGGAAGCCATCACATTCTTGTCGTTTTCCATCGTATCTCCAGTCGCGCTCACAGAAGACACCGGTGACAGTGGTAATGACGTATGTGATGATGGTGACGATGTTGTCAAGTATGATGATATAGGCGATATTAATGTCCTTGATAATGATAATGATGGTTGTGATGAAACTGATGCTGCTGATAATAATACTGATAATTGTGGTGATGGTGGTGAAGGTGGTGAAGGTGAAGGAGAAGGCGATAGGAAAAAGGTGTGTGATGATGTTGATGCTGATGATGAAGATGAGTGTGGTAATGATGATGGTGGTGAAGGTGAAGGTGAAGGTGAAGGTGAAGGTGAAGGTG